TCAGTCACATACAAGTACAACAGTTTTTCCATATCATCATCACTATCAATCCACAACAAATCCATTGAATTATCATGCAAATAATCATCTTAAACACATACAACAGCAAGTATCAGCATTTACACCAAGTCAAAATATGCCAAATAATTTGCCTACGATTGATAATTTTCTATTACCACTTGGACACAATCTATCTACTGATACTTCTACAACAACAACAGCACAACTGTTAATGACACTGATAAATTTAGCTGGTACATTACCTCCACAATCACCCGCAACAATCATTCTTTCCAGCTCGTCTTCTGACGAAAACGAACAAACGATTGTTACACGACGTAGTGCTATTTCAAGCTCGTCTTCTATCTTAACCACGATCACACCTACTTCAACGACATCATTATCGTCCAGTATAGTCACTGCCGCTACGACGTCAACTGCAAACGAAATTGAAACAGCTGAATCTACTGCAATAGTTAGTTCTTCGATCAATGGTAACATTTCTTCAACAGAAAAAACAAATACAACTGAACAGCACCAACAACTGATTGCTACAACGATATCCTCGATAAATGCTTCGGCTGAAAATTTAACTGAAACACCAGCTTCCGTAACAAATAATTCCATTTCAGTTGAAGAATCATCAGAACAACAGACAAAAAGACCACAATGTATGAAGAATGAATTAAAAGGTTTCGGTCAAACCCATAAATTTCGTCACGGCATTAGAAAACTACGTTCTCGTGGCGGTCGCCCATTGGAAAGCAGTAGACCACTACCAAGCAATGATACATCAGTGGCACAACCAGCAAAAAAATCAAAGAAAAGTAAATGATTGTGAATTATTGGCGATTAGCACGTTACATTGAAAACACAGTCTTCTTTAGCGGAAAACAGTTTTTTATGGTTATAAACTACCAAAAAAATATAACTGTGAAATAAAGTACAAAATGTTCTCCCACACAGCAATACAATGTTTAAAGTGTTGTAATTCATTCACTTCCACATACTGACTGTTGCACACTGATCCATTTAGCACGACTGCTGATTTAAATTTCAATAAAAATTTGCAGCCCTACAGTTAAATCCCTAACTGACAGTCACCTCTGTGACAGGTGTATACCTATGCAAATGCATAGTTCAACAATTAAATTCACCGTACAGATCAAGTACAAAACAGTCTGCTTTAGTTATAG